TGTATATGTATATATATATGTATATATGTGTATATGTATATATATATATATGTGTATATGTATATATATATATATGTGTATATGTATATGTGTATATGTATATATGTATATGTGTATATGTATATATATATATATGTGTATATGTATATATATATATGTATATATATATATATATATATGTATGTATGTATATGTATATGTATATATATATGTATGTATGTATATATATATGTATATATATATATATGTATATGTATATATATGTATGTATGTATATGTATATGTATATATATATATATATGTATGTATGTATGTATATGTATATGTATATATATATATATATGTATATATATGTATATGTGTGTGATGGCTTGTCAGAAATTGTCAGAAATCACACCTGAGTCTCCTGACCACTATCTGTTGCAGGTAACATACTGACCTCTTTAAAGTACTTTCCCAGTTCTACCTTAAAAAAAAAAAAATATATATATACATATATATATATATATATATTAAACCTACCTCTGTACATATAATTTAAAGAAACATTCCTCTAATTTTCATTGTCTGTGCTTATTTCCTGAATATACAGTATAGCATAGGAGGAGCATATTTTTGTTAAGAATATAAAGTTTGTGACTGTAACTATTAGTTTTGGATAGTGGGAAATTATACATTTTACCTTAATGCGTATGTGCAACATTATCAGTTTATGTCTCTTCTTATGAAGGTATGAGAAGATGATCAGCGGCATGTACCTTGGAGAAATTGTGAGGAATGTGCTCTTAGACTTCACCTCCAAAGGCCTGCTGTTCAGAGGCAAACTGTCAGAGCGACTGAAGACTCGGGGCATCTTCGAGACAAAGTTCCTGTCACAGATTGAAAGGTAAGCAGTACAAACACTTGTCTCACCTTGTTTCTCTCACTCACCCTGTATGTCGAGGTTTTTGTGCCGCAATAATAGAAAGCATGTCAAACTCTGTAGATCACACATCAAAACAGAGCTGCAACAACAATACAGGGCAGATAGCTTCTGACTGATTGTCTGTTGCTCTGCTTCTTGACACGTTAATAGGTATAACCTGTTGATTTTTGTCTTACATACTACAGTGAAATAACAGGATTGTTATGGGGGTGATCCGTGTTTGTTCTTACAGTAAGCTGACTACTCCAGCTCTTCTCCCACTTAAAAACAGGGTCCATAGGGGCAGGTTTTTCAACAATTGTGACTTCATTTTTTTTTGCTCCAAGTCTTTTTATTGATACATAGAAGCAATACAAACATGAACATAATAACCCCCCACCCCCCAGCTTCAACAGTATTACTGTACCAATCGTTAACCTAATATAAATTTTCTTGCGTACTAGCGCGTTCTCACACAAAGTACGTGTCCTTTACATATCAAAATTTATGTAGAACGTAAAATTTAAACAGATAGATTAATTAAGCAGGAGAAAGGGAGAAAAATAGATAAATGATTCCTATAGGTTCAAGTTATATACAGTACAGGGTCAGTCGTATAAAATGCCAGCATTAGCGATGTCTATTTTCTCTATATATTTTAAGAAAGATTTCCATATGGCAGACTTTTTGAGTACGTCATCTTGTCGAGTAGCAAATGTTTTCCAACATCAAATAGTGCAGGTCATTGATCCACATCTTAAAGGTTGGGGGAGTTACTCCTTCCACTTAAAGTACTGGTTGCCTAGCTATGAGAGATACAAAAGCTGTCATATTCTTTGCCAGATGGCTAAGATGAATGTCTTGTGGAGTTATTCCAAATATGGCAATGATGTCATAAGGTTCTATAGGTACTTCTGCAAAAACATCTGAAAAAGTTTTAAATATTAATTACAAGAAATTGTCTAATTTGAAACGAAACCAAAACATATATGAAAGGGGGGCTGGTTTTTGCCTGCATCCATCACAGATGGGATCGATAGGCGTGAACTTTGCTACTCTCACTTTAGACCAGTGATGGTGATGCATAACCTTGAACTGAGTGTGGTAAACTGATTGAAGAGGAATGTATTTTATCTGAAGCTTCCTTCCAGGTCTCCTCATGAAGCTCCAAACTCAAATCATCCTTCCATTGGTTTCTAAATAATGTCAAAGCCTCCAAATTTTATATATTTGGTAAAGAATATAAATTCCCAGTAGCCCCTTTGAAACTTAAATTAAGTTTCAAAATGAAGTCTTAAGACAGAATTGGGTGGCTGAGATGGGCAATAAATAAATGATGCTGATATAAATCTACAGAGCTGCAAGAATCTAAAAAACTTAGAGTTATGGATCAAAGTTCATGCTCAATAATCAATGTAAAAGCATGCAGTTGGTGCAGATGGGAGAAAAAGAACTACACGAATTTTCAAGTCTAATTATAACTCAACATAGAAATATTGATGTAGACACTATAGTCTCATCTAATATCCAGGGCCAGATTAACACTTCGCTTTACCCTGGGCAACAATCTTCAAGGGCCCCATCATCACGACCCCAGAATCACCATAATCTGGCAAAATACAGAATAAATTACCATAATATACAATAAATATACTTAAATTTCTAACTATTTTTATGTAAAAAACTCCAAATGCTCATTGACACAAATCATCAAGACTGAATTAAGTTGAACGCACTTTGAACACCACATGACACCATATGTGTACTGGTTTGGTAACGTGTTGGCCACTGGTGTCAGAAGCATTTATAATGTGTGTGGGGGGGACACACTGATTGGGGGGGTCTGGGCAGCCTCCCCCAGAAAATTTTGAATAAAGTAGATGCCATTTCCTGAATTCTGGTGTATTTTAATGGTTGTTTAACATCTAGTTTTACCTACACAAGTAAACACTTGGAACGCCTTTGAATTCCCTGGAGGAGCTGGTCCAAGTGGCTGGGGAGAGGGAAGTCTGGGCCTCCCTACTTAGGCTGCTACCCCCGTGGATGGATGGAAGTAAACACTTGATTCAGTAACTATTTTAGAGCTAATGGCACAACAAGAAGTAGCCTGACCAACAGCTGATTCAATAATTAAAAATATTATATATTCAAAGGTGACAATTTGATGCTCACATTAAAACTAAACGACTGTAACTTAGTTGACTTCAAATGCAATGATTATCAATGAATGTTTGCGACAAAGGATTTACTGATTATAACAAAGATTCCTTCAAGAAACCTCCTAATATAAATCATAAAACCATAATGACTTCTGCTCATTCTAAATTTGTCAAATGGCCTAAATCTCCCAAAGTGAAGGAGAATCATTTTAAAATAATAAATAAGATATATCCTGTAGCCATGTTTCTGCAAAGAATATTTAAATTTGATGTTGATTTGTGTGTCTTTTGTAAATCAGAAGATGAATCCCTTGAGCAATTTTTTTTCATGTCAATACAAAGTGTTTGGTCAGAAATCATAAACTGGATTAATCTCACACTTAACATACTTTCTTTTCATGCTGATGCCATTTTACTTTGTGGATAACTTAAGCTCAGCTTTCTCTGATGCCATAAATATAGTCATACTTAAAGCAAAGTACCACATTAACAGTAGTAAGAGGAGAGATAATAAGCCTTCCTTCCTGTTTGATGAACGATTTTAAGTCTTATTATTGTTCATTAAGTAGATAAAAAATCTGCAAAACTGCTAAAATCATCTCACAACAGATACAAACTTATTGTTTTAATTAAAACAATGTTTCTCAGGAAAAAAAAATGATGAGCTTGTCAGCAGGTAAGGGGCGTTTACCTTGGGGACAAATTGAGGTTGTCGATTGGTCAGTTACTGACACGCCTTCTGAGTTGATTGACAGGTCGCGCATCGAGGATCCGATTAAAAAAAAACACCAACAAAAAAAACAGAGAGCTGCAGCAGCCGTGCTGGGAGGAGGCGGGGCTGCCCAAATGCAGTGGAAGTGCAGCAGTCTCTGTGCAGTACAGGGCTCCAAGTAAAGCAGGAGATAACTAGATATTTTGCTTGTGCCCTCACTGCCCTGGGCCCCTTAGAGATCCAGGGCCCCTGGGCAGTTGCTCATATGGTTAATCCAGCCTTGCTAATATTGCGTATGAAATCATCTCAATATTATTAAAATATTGAGATATTG